TAGACATCAGAAACTTCTCATTATAAACTAGTAAGGTCCAAAATATGTACTAATTAACAAGTAATATATATTTTGAGCCTACTAGTTGAAGGTAGAATGTGTGATTTTTTGATCCAGTAGATGTCGCCCTTGAGCACCAGCATGAAACTAAAACAAACTGCTGTTTGGTGACACCTCCTCCAACCCCTCTCACATGGAGGAGTGATCAATTAGAACGCACCATAATTAAGCACCATTAAGTGCAAGCTGCGGACAAAATTGTCCTTTCCTCGAGCTGCAATCGCCTGTGTCCTGCATTGTTGTGTTAGCATGCTAATGTTAGCGCTCTTTAGTTAGCTTCATATTGCACATTCATTGACACAGAATGAGACATGATCTAAAGACGCTTACATTACATTCAAACAATCACTGAGTATGTTCTTCTTCTTTTCTCTAGTCCTTGACTAAAACAGATTTATACACAACGTCGTCCCGTCCATGTAAACATGATGTAAACATGATGTAAACATGATGTAAACATGATGTAAACACAGCTCTGACAACAGGAGAGAGAGAATCATACTTCTCACTCATTGTAGACAGTCATGACTCAGAGAGACATTTACACAGGATATACTTCATTTCTGCTCTATTTGTGTTTAAAATGTCACACATTCTGCCTTTAACTAGTACGCCCAAAAAATGTTCACTAGTCACCTATAAAGATCCAAAATATCTAGTTAACCAGTAACACAAACATTTACCCTAAAAGTTAACTAGTCAGGCTTCAATTGGACAAATTGATAATGAGGAAGTGAGGAATAAATGTGGATTAAGGCTTTCTTTGGCTCTCAAAATCAAAATAGTGCAGAAAACTGAGGATTGACATCAAGGATATCGTATAAATTCTGAAATGGCTTTCCATACAGCGATTCCTGGGATCTGCAGGTGTACATCGATAAAAAAACAAATTTGGGGAAGCACCTTAAACACCAAGGTTTCTTTTTCCTTAGTCCAATGATAGGTGTTCTGGATGTTTCAGGGATGGGTCGGGGGGGTTATGTAGACCAAGTGACCTCGTTCCGACTATTTTCTTCAGTTCAGTCAGCAGGAGGAAATTTTCCCAACGTCTACTTTCCACTGAAATAACCTGAGAGGACGATCACATGGGTTTCACAACAGGAGCTGGGGGGGAGCGGAAAATATCATCTGTTAATTCTCTCACTCCTCCTCCCGACTGTTACAGTGGAAACACAAGCGCACACACACACACACATACACACACACGCTCACGGCGCTATCAGATATTTTCTATCTTCCTTGTTCCATCTTCTCAGTGATCTCAATCATCTGCCGTTGAAAGGAAACTTGTTCTTCCTTTTGACTGATTGCACAATCCCTTTGGAATGTTTTTCACATGTATTTCCTCTCCGCAGGTATCGAATGATTACCCCGTAAACCCCCTGTGGTGTAAGTCTGAATGGAGAGCTTATTGCCGGGATTAAACATGAGAATATATTTGCAGTCCTTCCTCCTGGATCAGGTCCTGCAGCATGTTTCTGAGGTTTTTTTTTACATTTTGGGGGATTTTTGATTCAAACATTTCCGATGTATCATCATGACATCAGGTAGTGGTGTAAGGTAGTCAGAGATGGGCCCTGGTGCACGCACACCTGAAGGATGTTGAAGCATGGGCCAAACTGCTGCTACTGCTAGAAAGGGGCAGGGGGTCAACGGTGGGCTTTCCTCACAGGCCCCCCCCCCCCCTTCCCCCCCCACTCCATGTGCTGTAGTGCGACTGCACTGTTTATTTTTACGCCATTGACATCCAGGGAATCTGTCACATATTTTAAAGGGAATGTTTTCAAACCCGCTTTATACACAAACGACACAAATCACAGCTAGTATCATTGCATTTTAAATATTTGACTTTGTTGTGAACACGCCTTCAGGTGTGTGTGTGTGTGTGTGTGTGTGTGTGTGTGTGTGTGTGTGTGTGTGTGTCTGTGCATGTGTGTGTTTTATGGCTATGACTCAGGAGGTCATGTTACAGGTACGTTTCCACTCAGAAACAAAGTCCACACACCTGAAGCTCGGTTAAAACAGTTTGTATCTTCTTTTTTTTTGGGGGGGGGGGGGGGGGGGGGTGTGGCGCTGGTGGAGCAGTGGTTAGTGCCCGGCCCGGGCTCGAATTCGGCCTGTGGCTCCCTTCCCACATGTCATTCCCCACTCTCTCTCTCTCTCTCTCTGATTTCCAACTCTTTCCACTGTCTTATCTCTCAATTAAAGGCACAAATAGCCCAAAAAGAAATCTTAAATTTTTTTTTTTTAAAAACACACTATGTATCTTTTCCACCAGAAAACAGAATCATGAAAGTCGGTTCAATGACTTTCAACGGGGAGGATTGTGTCTCGTCATGTCCACGCCCCGGTCGCCCGCTATAAGCCCTGTGTAACTTTGGCAGCGGGCTGTGGTCACATCGCGACAGGTGCCTGCTGCATGTGGACCCACCTGACTCCAACTGCTACCACTATTTATATCACTCTGACGTCTGTTATCATTATTATACATGTTAGAGCTAGTATCTGAGAGCTGCTGGACTTCAACAGCTTTCAAAACTAATATCAGTCGTCCAAATTCCATCATCATGACAGTTAATACGTCGATATTAGACTGATCTAAATCAGGCCCAAACTGGTTTGTGATTGGCAGAGAAAGCTGACAGAGAAAGACATAAAGCACCAATCATAGTTACTGTAGTGGATGGATATAACTTAATAAGTTCTGACCTAGCTGTGATAGAGAGAAGTATGAGTTCATAACTGAAAAGCTGCAGATTTCCGATCAGACAGACGTGATTAACTTATCACTACTTACTCTATCTGTAATCCATTTGAAGAAAAACACAGGGAAGATCCATCAGAAGAATATCAAAAAATAATTTAGTGTTTTCAAACCCTTCATAATCTACAGATATGAATCATAATGGAGAAGTCTTAACACAAGAAAATAGACTTTAATAAATAGATAAGAAAAATGCATGTATTTTCAAAATAAATATGTTTTTAATAGTTACACTAGAAACAACAAAAAAGAGTATTAATATAGTAAAACATTTTACAGCACCAATAAATATATTAATGTGAAAATATACTAAAAATGTGTGGCTGTACAAACTCATTAAATACAAATCGAATGTTTTCATCAGCACTGAGACGGCAGCCGGGTCAGTGAACGCAACCCCAGGCCTCACACAGCACGGGGATGGGGTCAGTGAATGCATCATCAGGACCCCGAGTGAAGGGAAGAGTTAGAACAGAGGGACAGTGAACACACCATCACTCACTCTCACACACATACACACACACACACACACACAAGGTTTTACATTCACAGAGTGGTGTCTGTCTGATCTTGCCTTTAACCAGCTCTGACTGGAACTACAATCATTATTAACGCTCATTATTCATTGATTAAGTTTAAGTAAGAGTCCGATTTAAAGCAGTGGAGTAAGTCTGGTTCTGTCAGTCAGAGACGGAGTCTTTATGTGACTTCACTCCCTCAAATTAAAATCATTAAGTGGTTTTATTCTCTCACAGTTTACCCTGGGCGTTTCTCTCTCCACACACACTGCAGAGCACAATGTGTAATAGATCTCACTATTTATCTAACAATGCTGCACACAGTTAACGTCGCTTCACTTCGCTCTAAACATTTACTCACTTCTCTTAAAGGATTGTTAAGGCTACGTGTTACTAATTAAACCTTAAATCTTGCATAAACACTGTTTTATAACGCACTGGAGTTAAAGCTCCAGGATGTGCATCACAGTCAGCGTAACATTCTGTGTATGAGACATTCTGGTATGACCAATACTCTCATAGAAAATGGTATTTCACGGTGCTATTACTGATCTTAAGCTTAACGTTTGCCTCATTTGTTGTGTGTTGCAAGCGGCTGCTTCGCTGCAGATCGTGTGCTCGGATACAGAGCGACACGGGGCCAGGCCGCAGCGTCATAGGTCATCACGCTTTGAAGAGAATGGGGGTATGCTGTTGAGTAAATAAACATTGTGGAGTGCTGGTTTGATTTGACTTGAAGACAGGAGTGACAGCAGACTTCCCGACTATCAAAGTCATCGTAGGCTGAGGGATTAGTTAACGTTACCGGCGGCTAGCAGGACTGCAAACACAGATAGGGCAACTTAAATACCGGTTTCAGAATGTAGTTCCCTTTTAACTTCATTGTTTTAACTTTGAATCTTCATGTAATGATTCTGTTTCTGCTCAGGGTTTCTGCCCGTTAAAGTTTTTCTCACAGTGGATAAATGTTCGGTGTCTGTTAATAATAAAACAGAAGAGAACGCACGAGATCTGCTCGTCATGGAAAGAGACCTCGGGTAACGTTTGTTTGGATTTGTTAATATGTAAAATAAAATCGGGTTTGTGTCGTGACATGTTTCCTGATGAGTCTAAACCGAGACTGTGAGGTTCATGTTTGGTAAGAGAGAGGTGTCTCTGTGTGTGTGTGTCTGTGTGTTTGTGTGTGTCTTTGAGTATGTAAAAAGCTGCAGTAAAGACGTTATGTTAGCGCCCGGCTAACGTCAGAGAATCTCTGTGCCAGTCCCACACACACACACACACACACACACACATAAACTTCTGTGATTGGTTGGTTTAAGACTAACCCAGGTCTGATCTGAGCAGCAGATTCAGACCACTTCAGTTCCCATGACGAGTCCAAGAGTTAAACCACATGTCCCCCTAACATCCCTCCCCCCCCCCCCTCCTTAAATGATGAAAACCACCTGTGTTGGCGCATCACACTAACACATGTTGGTGCTGGGGTTACTATCGGTCACCCCTCCCCACCCCCCACCACCCCGGCTGCTGAGCTCAGTGCCGTTTAAACAGGAATGTCAAAGCTTCAGTCTCTCTCGCACACCAAGAGTCGACAGTCAAAACACAAACATAACACTGCATATAAATACTGAACATACTCTATAAATTAGACTGGGGTGGGGGGGGGGGGGGGGGTCGTCACGGGCGGCACACAGGTCGTTCTTTGGAACACAAAGAGTTAAATAAGGAAGACACTGATCTGGTCTGAGATCAGCCTGTCGGGTTTTTCTCTGTGTACACCTGCAGTGATTTCACCTCACACAGGGAAACAAAAAAAAAAAAACTGTGCACAAAAAACACAAATCTGTTGCCCCAAAAACAGGGAGGGGCTACATGAAGGGGGGCGGAGCCAGGATCAAGAAGTGGCTCTTTACCTGTAACCTTTTGACTCTCCAACATTAACCACATTAAAAACACTAACAGGAATCGGTTTTTTTTACCCCCCAAAAGGTAAGCTTCACATTTTCCGTCTCCATGGTAACCAATGTCCCCCCCATCACTTCTGAGAGTCAGTTTTTTTAGTGTTTTCTCATCCAGCAGAGACAAAACTTCACATCATGTCACAGAGGGAAAAAGTCTGTAACTTCAGCAGCTCCTCCTCCTCCTCCTCCTCCTCCTCCTCCTCCTCGTTCTCCGTCAGAGCCGGGAGGCGAGTCGTCTTATTAATATTTCCTCCTCTCTGCAGCGTCCAGCATCCAGTGAAATGTTACACTCAAATTACGGTTTTCTTCCACAGATGAGCAGGTCGCGTTCACACGCCGGCGGCGCACTGTTTTGCTTTAAATAGAGTCGTGTTTCATGTAGCAGCGATACACATTGTCGATGTACGTGTATATATATGTACATATATATTAATATCTTCAGGCGTCAGACAGACAGTTGGAGAGCCGCGTCCTCACAGTCCCTTCTCTCTCTCTCTCTCTCTCTCTCTCGCGCGTCGTCGTTTTTGTGTCTTTGCAGGGGAATGCATCGTCACGTTTCAAAGTGCTGTGCAGAGGAAAGTTCCTTTTATTACAGTGTGGCGGTCTCACCTCCGGGGGCGCTCACATCTGAGGAGGCAAAAAGAGGGAACATGTTGGTTAGAGAAAAGAAGAAAATCTGAAACACGAGCAGAGCGTCGGGTTTGAACAGATTCTCACACAACAGGATCTACAGGATGCACATGAACTCACTCCATGCACACAGAGGGGCTATTACAAGTGGGGAGGGGAGGCAGGGGGACAGCAGGGGGGTTGAGTGGGGGAGTATTGTCATATCTGCAGGTTCTGTGGATGTCGATGAAATAGTGCTTCTTTTTTTCCCCATATGTTTGTTTTCCTTTAATTCTCAGATTTCCATAAAACTGCAGCAGAGCTAGTTAAAGGGTTAATAGCCAACTTAGCCCGATTCCAAAGACCCCTCACTCTGAGGATAACCCCCCCCCCCCCAGCACACAAAAACACACTGTGTCTCCTGAACACTGAGCAGCCAATCAGAGACTGTGTTTGGGATCAGTCCACCGGCAGTGTGTGGCTCTGTGTGGGGGGTCTCTGAAGAGGGGTGGGGGGTCTTTTGAGGAGGGGGGTCTTCGGGGTCTTGCGGGGTCACTGAGGTGGGCGGGGTCAGATGAGGTTGCGACACCGGGCCTGGTTAAGTGGACGTGTCTGGATTTAGATTTAGTGGGTGAGTGTGACCTGGAGCTGATTTCACTCTCAAATCTGGAGGTGGACGCGTTCCAATTCTCATTTTTCCTCCTGATTCTGATTCAAATATGTGAACTATCATCCAAACCAAGACCAGTACAATAACAGTGTGATCAGAAATACACATAGTATTGTTGTAAAAACACTCATAGAGGACATTTCACTAACTTTAGCTGCACTGTTGATCATGTATCTAAAATTGGTAAATTTCTAATAAAGGTTAATAAATAAATAATAATCATAATCAAAGAATGGATTTGTGTATTGATTTACAGAAAACACAACTCAGTGATGACATGCATCAGGTGGTGAAAACTTGAATCAGCACACTGGTTTGTGCTTTTATAGTATGAATGTTAAGAGGATTGTTTTTGCTTAGCGGAGCGTTTTGGTTTTCATCAGTTTTCAAGCGTTTGCTTTTTTATGAGTTCAGATCTGCGTCAAGATCGTGAATCCAGACCAGAACAGACTTCGTTTATTGTCAGATTCAGGAGTTAGACACCATCTCTGAGATTTCTAGTTTCCCACTACGACGATGACGGCTAACATCATGCTGATCACAACAGGTTAACCACCGTTCACCTTTATTCTACTCATGTAGCAGTGAGATGGTTTATTGGGGACCTGGGTGCATAAAACTAAACCTGACTTCAAAGCCAGATCACACAAGAGGAGTGCAAACATGCAGGTGAACTGATGCTCCTTTAAGCTCTCAGACGAAGTCTCGAACATGTTTTAAACTAAAGTAAGTGAGATATCATCAGATGATGAGAAGAAGGTCATTCAGAGTCACAGCCATCGTGGAGATCTCGTGTTAATAAACTGTTTCTATATTAAACTGACTGAACAAACACACAGCTGATCGCACGGGGTCATGCACTCAGGATTAAAACATCAACACACACAACCTCAGACAGAGACAGAGACAGAGACAGGGACAGAGACAGAGACAGGACAGAGACAGAGACAGAGACAGAGACAGAGACAGAGACAGGGCAGAGACAGGGCAGAGACAGAGACAGAGACAGAGACAGAGACAGAGACAGAGACAGAGACAGAGACAGGGCAGAGACAGAGACAGAGACAGAGACAGAGACAGGGCAGAGACAGAGACAGAGACAGGGCAGAGACAGAGACAGAGACAGAGACAGAGACAGAGACAGAGACAGGGCAGAGACAGAGACAGGGACAGAGACAGAGACAGGGACAGAGACAGAGACAGGGCAGAGGCAGAGACAGAGACAGAGACAGAGACAGAGACAGAGACAGGGCAGAGACAGAGACAGGGACAGGGACAGAGACAGAGACAGGGCAGAGACAGAGACAGGGACAGGGACAGAGACAGAGACAGAGACAGGGCAGAGACAGAGACAGAGACAGAGACAGGGCAGAGACAGAGACAGAGACAGAGACAGAGACAGAGACAGGGCAGAGACAGAGACAGAGACAGAGACAGGGCAGAGACAGAGACAGAGACAGAGACAGAGACAGGGCAGAGACAGAGACAGAGACAGAGACAGGGCAGAGACAGGGCAGAGACAGAGACAGAGACAGAGACAGAGACAGAGACAGAGACAGAGACAGGGCAGAGACAGAGACAGAGACAGGGCAGAGACAGAGACAGAGACAGAGACAGAGACAGAGACAGAGACAGAGACAGGGCAGAGACAGAGACAGAGACAGAGACAGAGGCAGAGGCAGAGACAGAGACAGAGACAGAGACAGGGCAGAGACAGAGGCAGAGGCAGAGACAGAGACAGAGACAGAGACAGGGCAGAGACAGAGACAGGGCAGAGACAGAGACAGAGACAGGCAGAGACAGAGACAGAGTGCTGTTCTCAGCTGAAAGACTGAGTGGGGAGAGACAGGAGGAGAGGGAGACAGGTGGATGGACATGAGGAGAGGCAGACACACAGACGGAGACCGGACAGCAGAGACAGAGACAAACAGTCCGGTAGAGAGAAAGATGGATGGACTGGCAGGAGACAAGACAAGGAGGAGGAGAGAGGGACAGAGATAAAGACAGGGTGGAGAGACAGACAGGTTCGAAATCAAAGCATGATGATTTTTTTTTTTTGATTTTTTTTTGTTCAAAGTGTATGAGAGGAAAAACAAACCTGCAAGTCCTCTCGTTTAACTCAAGCTGCCGTGACTTGCAGTCTAACTGTGTGAATTTGCAGGAGCATTGACAGGTGAGAGGATCCTGCACAAACAAGCGCCTCCTCCTTTCTGAGCAAGGTGCACAGTGGCTGCAAGAGAAGCAAAGAGAGGGAGACACAGAGAGAAAGAGAGAGAGAGAGAGAGAGAGAGAGAGAGAGAGAGAGACAGGGCTAAGCTACGGAGCAGAGAGGCTACACACACACACATACTCATGCAACACACAGATCTGACATCAATCATAACAAGATATTACGCTCACTTCTGTGTAACTTTCAACAGATATGTTTGATAAAGGCTGATGTGCTTTTTGAAATGTGTCAAACTGATTACATGAAAGTTTGTCCTATAGCAGCGAGGAGAAACGCAAAATAAAGTTTGCACGATATGTCAGACAATCTCTGCAGTGAACCTTTTGCACTCAGAGGTTAATTAAACAACGGCACGGCGCAGGGTCACCGAGATGAAAAAATAATCAAAGTTGGCGGCCCGAGGGCGACGCAGACACCACAAGTGTCTCGGTATCCTTTGAAGGTCGCAGAGGAGACACAACAATGACACAACAAGACATAAAAAGTGTGTCTTTAACTCTCACTCTGCTTTGTCTGTTGGGGATATCTGTTGTCTACACGGCAACAAACATCAACATCGGGGAGCGGTGAACACACACACACACACTTTCTGTATATAACTGTTTGTCATTAACAGAAGCATAAATTATCTCAAACAGGAAATAGATAAAAAAAAAAAAAAAAAAAAAACCTCCAACAGAAAGAAGGTTATCAATGCAGAGCAGCTTCCCCTGATAGCGTCCTCTCAGAGACTTACAAATGTCTTCACACATGGGCAGATGTGCTCACAGAAACAGATGTCCTCATAGGGACAGCTGTCAGAGACCGATGTCATCACGCAGACATGAGGACAGTTTTAACGCACAGAAACATGGCATGGTGAGGACGGATTTTTGCCCTGACAGAGACACGTCCTCAAGGAGACAAAGGTCCTCATAGATAACAATCCTGACAAAGGGCTGTGTCCTTAGAGAGACATGTTTCCTTACAAAGGGACATTTCGTCATAGAGACAGCAGTCCTTCTAGATAATGTTCTGACTGTGGGGCATGTCCTCACAGAGACAGAGGTCCTCACAGAGACAGAGGTCCTCACAGAGATAGAGGTCCTAACGGAGACAGAGGTCCTTAGAGACAAATGTCCTCACAGAGACAGAGGTCCTTAGAGACAAATGTCCTCACAGAGACAGAGGTCCCCACAGAGACACATGTCCTCACAGAGACGGAGGTCCTCACACAGAGGTCCTCACACAGAGGTCCTCACAGAGACAGAGGTCCCCACAGAGATACATGTCCTCACAGAGACGGAGGTCCTCACAGAGACAGAGGTCCCCATCGAGACAAATGTCCTCACAGAGACGGAGGTCCTCACAGAGACAGAGGTCCCCATCGAGACAAATGTCCTCACAGAGACGGAGGTCCATAGAGACAAATGTCCTCACAGAGACAGAGGTCCATAGAGACAAATGTCCTCACAGAGACGGAGGTCCATAGAGACAAATGTCCTCACAGAGACAGAGGTCCTCACAGAGACAGAGGTCCTCACAAAGATAGAGGTGCTCACAGAGACTGAGGTCCTAACTGAGACACATGTCCTCACAGAGACTGAGGTCCTCACAGAGACTGAGGTCTTCACAAAGATAGAGGTGCTCACAGAGACTGAGGTCCTAACTGAGACACATGTCCTCACATGTCCTCACAGAGACATATGTCCTCACATGTCCTCACAGAGACATATGTCCTCACATGTCCCCACAGAGACATTTGGACAGATGTCCTGAGTGTTTCTATTTTAGAGAAATTATGTAAATATTGCAGCAGCTATGAAAAAGGTTCCAGGAAACAGAACAGAACTTGATCTTAAACTTTGTCTTTGTCTGTCTTTGGGGTCCGAGGAGAAAAGATGCTGAGTCACTATGAAGATTCACACAAGCTGCAGTCTCAGTATGACCCTGACTCACAGGTTGGATCAGCTGGTCAGTCTGCAGCAGCAGCATCGATATGAGATGAAGAGGGAACAGGACACGAGATCTGATCTCCTCATCGCAGGGAGCGGAGGGGGGGTTTATTGATCCTGAGGACTGGAGTGGATCAGGATCGTCCGCACGATCACGCACTTCCTCATTTTCCACCTCCTGGCTCCGCCCCCCTGCAGAGAGAGCTACGTGCACGCAGACACTGAGCTCAGTGTGACTCAGCTCACATGACCCTGCCTTCTCTGGCCATCAGTCAGCTTTAACCTGCGAGGCTCTGCACACGCTCAGTCTGCTAATGCAATTAAACACCCTGACCTGCTGCTGACACACATCAGTCAAACACACACACACATTCAGACACGTACACACATCTCACACACACACACACACAGGTCTGACAGTTCTGCTGCTGCGATCACAGCCTCTCTGATAAAAACAGGTTGCTGTGTGACTCCTGCTGCTAAGATTAGAACAGAAAGGGGGGGGGGGGGGGGGTTGTCGAGGAGGTTTGTGAAACCAACACAAGTCAGAGTGTGTGGAGGGGGGTGGGGTGGGGGGGGGTGGCTCTGCAGCAGGTGGGCTCCACCTCAAACACCCTGCTGGTGTATCCGCTTCATAAAACAGTAAAACCATAAAGAGTCTGGCTCAGAGTCTGAACCTCCAACATGGAGGGCACGAATGACGACAGGCTGTGAACTTATTAAACTGTCACATCATCATCGCACCATCCAGCACGCACTGTGAGGAAGATAAACTGAACATGTGCTGTTTAGAAAATCATCTAGAATCAGTGTCAGAAAAACTTTCAGTCTCCAAATGCAAAACGAGTCCATGACCTTCTGCATCACAACAGAAGTCTGATATCCCTTTCTTGTAAAGTTCTGCTTCTTCTATTATTTCAAACAATTACCTTACTCTGTTTTTCTGTTATTTAGTAGAAGTGTCTCTCACTGTGTGTTCACTATAATCTGAATCAGAGCGCTTTGACAGGTGATAAACAGAAAAACAGAACACATACTTACTATTCTTTCTTTGCAGGGATGTCATGCTTCAGTCTGAAACACAAGAGAGAGAGAGAGAGACAGTTGAGAGACGTGTGTGTGTGTGTATATGTGTGTGTGCGTGTGTGTGTTGTGCGTCTGTCTTACCTGCATTCACACTTTTGGTGTTCTGTGAAGCTGAGATCGACGGGGTGCTGCGTCACCATCGGCCTGAAGCGCATCACCTGAGACAAACACAACGGACGGTCAGATTCAAGACTGCATGAATGTGAAGCTTCATTAACCTCCAGACTGAACACACACACACACACACACACACACACACACACAGACAGGGCTGTAAACACAGTGTGTCGGGGTAAACAACATGTCTGAGATGCCTCTGCTCACCACTAACAGCCCTCTGTGCTCAGAGTGTGAGATCAACACCAGAAACTAAAATATGACCTGAAATTATTTTCATCCCTCATTTTAAACAGTTTGAACATTTTCCCAGATGTCAAATCCTCTGGGGGGTTATTGTTCAGGGTTCAGTGTGTGTGTGTGTGTGTGTGTGTGTGTTTAATCAGCTGACCTGCAGCGTGACGTTGCCCGTCTCCGTCGGGACGCACTCCATGGCCTCGTCGCTGCAGCAGCCCCCGCAGCGTTTGAGGACGACGCAGGAGGGGAGGTAGGTGTGTTCAGTGTCCTCGGGGTACTCGGTGAAGATGTCCACCAGCAGCTCGCGGGGCTGACACATGCTCTTAATGATGACCTCGGTGAGAGGGATGACTGTGGGAAACAAAACAACAAGGACGGAGAGTCGTTACCCCACAAGAAAAATAATAATAATAATCTTAAATACTTATCAGTATCAGTCTGATATAAGTCAAGAGTGTCGATTAAAATGTGTCCGTCTTTGGTTATCTCTAAGTTCTGATCAGATTCTAGTAAATCCTGAAAGTTAAGAGGCAGGGACCAGAAAATCATTCCATTTCCTGTTTGAAGAAACAACTAAAACTAGAAAACTAACGAAAACCAAAGAGAGGCTCCTGTGTGTGTGTGTGTGTGTGTGTGTGTGTGTGTGTGTGTGTGTGTGTGTGTGTGTGTGATCAGACCAGAATAATCCATCCCAGAGTCCATAAGTCCATTTCCCAGAGACCCCCCGGCTGACTCCTGACCCCCCAGCTCTGTGACCCCGGGCTCTGTGGCGCCAGGCGTCACCTATGACCTCTTACCAGAAAGAGCCCACCCCTGAGCTGCAGCCCCGCCCCCCCCAAAAAAAATCCTGCTACAGGCTTACTGTTAGCATGTTAGCTTTACGGACACGACTGAGTCTGTCTCTTCAGGTTAAACTCTCAATCCTTAAGAGATGGGATCATGTTTGACATTTTAGGGAAATTAAAACTTTAAATTACCCAGAATTTGCTGACTAGGACTTATGTATGTCTGTTGCCGTTGTGTGCAGCAGGTTACTGTTAGATTTGACTTATTATCGTCTTGAAGGTGAAACTGACTGGGCGGATCTGGTTCATGATGATGTCACACACCCAGCTGGTTCCTCCACCTGAGCAGGATGTCACCTGTGTTACATCATCCTGTCACATCAACACCTCGTATCTATAAATCATTAGCATACGACTGAGTTACTAACAGGTCCTGTGTGTGTGTGTGTGTGTGTGTGTGTGTGTGTGTGTGTGTGTGTGTGTGTGTGTGTGAGTGTGTGTGTGTGCATCACAGTCTGATTTATTATTTTTAAATGACATTCAAAACATAAACAGGACAAACTGTTACACGCAGGCCTGTTGACACACACTACAGTAAGATGTGTATTCATCCGCTGCAGAAAATAGTCCCCTTTCCCCGTGTTGTTGAATAGAATATTATATTATAAGTGTGTTCGTGGTGTGTGTTTGTTTTACTGCAGGTTTGATGAGAATATATATCACGTCGTATCACAAACAGTTTAGAGTAATCAGGCTTCGGTCTTATCTGTGTGTGTGTGTGTGTGTGTGTGTGTGTGTGTGTGTGTGTGTGTGTGACAGGATCTGACAGGTGCAGTGTGAAGGTCACAGCATGACATCCTGCTCCTCACACACACACACACACACACACACTAACACACACATACAACAAACACTCAGAGTGTTTGTACTGACTCGTGTGTTTCCATCCATCGGAGACACACAGGTCCTACCATGGCCTCCACACACACACACACACACACACACACACACACACACACACACACACACACACACACACACACACACACACACACACACACACACACACACACGCACAGTCTGACATTGAACCGAGGCTGTCTGTCTGCAGGCTCTAGCCGACTCTCTCTATCACTCTTTACTCTTTTTTGAAATCTTCAGCAGGTTTTTATGAGGACTCCAAAGTCCTGGTTCAGACCTTTTGACCTGACTGAACTTTGTCTCCATGTCTGCTCGTTACTGGAAACACACCTGAGCTCAGACTGCTGAACAAACACACCATGTCACACACTTTCAAAGATTTCTACTTTAATAAAGAAACTAAACTCTTGAGGGTTAAGTGTATTAAAAAATGTTCATCACTCATCCACTAGGGGGCTCTGTGGTCGCCTTTGCTGCACACAGAGGAACAGAAGAAGTCTTTAAAACTTACCCTCATTCTTACTCTTGTCCAGGCCTTTGTTAATGCTGGCAGTCTGAAAGACAAGGAGAGTGTGTTTAATGTGTGTGCAGCTCAGACGCAGTGTCACCACAACAATACACTCCAACAGAAACACAATAAAACATTAACATCCACTGATTGAGAGAGGCTTTTTCATTTCAGAGCTCATGACATCTAACTTTGATCCACGTCAGCAGCATGAAGACACAGCTGAGGGTGATACTCATCTTCATTCATTATGAAGAGGACTTTCATACTCTGAACCTGCTGCTTCAATGTGGTTTTTTTTGTAACACACTGATGAGCTCTGTGCAGTCTCTAACAGGCTGATGTAATCTCCACGTTACAGCTCTGCAGCCTGCTTGCTCAGTGAATGTGTGGAAATACAAAATCAGGTCCTTTTGGAATTTAATTTCTTGCATGAAAAATGAAGCCTCAGTATGCATGCTTTATTAGAATATAATAAACCTGTGTTCATAGGCTGCTGATTTATTCTGTTCTAATCATGTGAGGCTGGAGCCTGCACAGAGAGCATGATGTGGAGGTAAATGTGCAGAATTTAAATCACAGGTGGGCTGCATTTAAAGAAATTGTATGTCTCTTAATCTTGTGTTTATCTTTTCAACATTTGGAGAGGAGCAGGTGCCTTTTAGAGCTTGCGTTCACCTTGCGTGGCTGCTGTAACGCGCGGAGGTATTGCGTGAGAAAAGCGGGGCAGCCTGTGTGGGCGCGCGGGGGGCATCCTGTGGAGGGGGGGAGGAGGGGGAGGGGGCTGGAGGGATCGGGTCTCTGCTCCCATACGGTCCGGATCACCGTGAGAACAGAAACAGAACTGATCTAGACCCGAAAGGCTCCAGAGTTCTTGCCGCCCTCGCAGACTGAGGCGGGGGCACGCAGAACTCCATTCATAAATCTGATAGTTTAAAAAAAGACTGTCCTTACATTCTGACCAGGTGTTACTTTAATAATTATAACTGATTAGTTTGGGAACTTTAATAGTGCCTGTTTAATTCGGCATACATATAAACCAGCAAGCATTATTTATTAATCACAAATAAGAACTTTTAGGACTTTTCCCACTGGCTTAAGTTACTGTGCTGTCCAAAAAGGAGCAACACAAATTGAAGCTTTATTTCTACTAATTTAACCATCAAAAATATATATGCCATATTGAATGGTTGTCCTTCAGAATAAAAGTCAATTTCTTCTGCATCTCCTGTTTTTATGTGCGTCATTTGAGCATGCGTGACTTTGCATTTCCATGGCAGGTCTTAAATTAGCAGACTTCTGAGTGGAGTCTGGCTCTGCAAAAGAGACGACGTGCGTGTTGACAAAAGGGATTAGTTAAAGACAAAAAAAAGGGGTTAACAAAGAAACAGAAAATAAACAATGATTCTGCTCAGTTCGAAATTAACCTGAGTTCACATAACGGCTCCATATCTGCCTGCAGCTCTATGAACACTGCGCTGTCTTTGATAATAAATCCTTTAAATGTTTAATTACTGATGGCGTTAAGATATCTTATCTGGAAAGAGAATAGCCTGCCTGGCGTAATAATGGTCGATAAAATAGTGTATGATTAATCATGATGTTACAGAAGCACTCACCTTTACAGTGGATAGGTGAACCGCTGCCAAAAGGATTTGTACCAAAGTGACAACAAAGTTCATGGTTGTAATTCCGCAAGAGGAGTCCTGAATGTCTGCGCTCGTCCAAAAGTGAATAGATCTGACAGCAACTGACACACACAGTCAGAAGAGGAAAAAGGAATATTTTAAAAAACCGCGGCAAATCTTGGCTATAGCAAACGCAGATCCATTTCTCCAACGCGCATGTGGCACGTTCACAGTGAGTCCGGGCAGCGCTCCGCGTGAAGCCTTACCATCCACAGACAAAGACTTTATGATGGGCTGTAAGATCCAGACCGGGACCCGGAGCTCAGGGGAAAACCGCGATCCAATCACAAACCGTGGGTAACCGGGTAACGTCCACAGAGAAGAGCGCGGAGGACAACTTTACGCACCGGTGTGTCTGACGCTCATGGATTCCGCACTGTCACCGTCTGTCTGTGTGTGTGTGTGGTTCTGTGTGTTTGTGTGTGTGTGGAGGGGTATGCCGGTATTATAAAGTGATCCGTTTTTTTTTTCTTCTTCGTTTGTTTCTGGTTCACTGCCTCGGGTTTTTCCGCAGCAGTTCGTCCCGGATCAAGCTCGTCCCTCACGGTCTCTGGTCTCTGCTCCTCTTGGCGGCTGCTTCTCCTCATGCGGTATTAAAGGTTCCTGCCTGCTGCACACTCAGAGGGGGGGCGGGGCTGCCAGGAAAGGACCAATGACGGTACACGCACACACGCACACATGCACGCACGCACGCTTACACATACACTCACTAACTATTTCATTTACAGTGGGAGCGTTTGTAAATTTTCCGCTTAGCTGTGACCGACAAATAATCATGAAATAATCAGAAGAAGAAGAAGATAAAAAAAGAACCTTTAGTTGATTTGTTTGCATGTCACACAAAACATCAGCTCAAAGTTATGTTCAATTAGGACTAAATCAATTAGCATTCATATAACGAATACTCACAAAAGTTATCTGATGACACTTTCCCTTAAGAGCATTGATTCATCTTGAACAAAAACTTCACAGGCAGAAACTTTGAGCTGTCCTCCTTCAAGAGCAGACGTCTGCTGAGACAGGATGGACGGTCATGCTGTAGTGGAAGCCCATAGCAGCATGACTAGGAGCTGGTCCAAACCTGAGTCAGCCCTAAGCTTTATCAAAAAGGGAAAGTTTGAATCCTATATTAAAAGTACAGAGGGCGTCTGACTCCCCGACCCTGACTGATAGATGAGTCCAAAGGAGGGGGGCTTAATAACTGAAGGCTCTACCTCCCGTACTACATTTAGGCACCAAAAGCAGGCCTGCATTCTCCACGGTTTGTTTAGTACTATGACCTAATGGTGCCAGTTCAGAGAAACTAATGTAGAAGCAATGTGAAGTCAGGAGGCAAGACATGACACAATAAAGACGCCACGGCAGTTACAGGATGGAGGATAAGTCAGCAGAGACTCAGCCTGATGATGACAGTTTATTTCTCTTTATCAATACCACGTCTAATGGACGTATCGACATTATCAAGAACGAGCGCAAAAGAACACACTGGTGAACAAAAAGCAGCTTGATTATGTGTGTGATTTGTTATCACCCGTTATCTTGAATATCTTGTACTGGGTTCACACATCGGCTCAACCCGACTTCTTGTCTAAAACTTCTTGTGGAAAATATTACTTAAGCCCCGTTTCCAAGCGGTCCGGGTCAGTTCGGTTCAGTATCCATTTATTGACGTTTCCACCGTCAAAAGTTGTGAATGGTACCAAAATAAGGGATTCGTACCGTCCTACTTTTTTGGTACCCTTCTGTTGGGGCGCCAATGGTACCGCTCAGACCCTAAAGGGTCCCTTTTGTTTACTGTGTCCCGTTCTTCTTCTTTGTTTATGTTAATTAATAGCAGGGCTACACTGTGTTGGGCTGCTATGATGTCACATTCTTACATAGCTGACGCGACAATCTTCATCTGGTTTACCAAATAAGGGTACGGATGGCTGTGGAAATGCAAGATCAGGGTTTACCGTACCGAACTGAACCAAACTTTACTGAACCAGAAAGACGCTAACAGGAAAGAGACCCGGTAAAGTCAGGGTGAATAATCTGGCTGTTTGTGTTAACACACCCTGAAAGTTTCAGGTAATTTTCCTGAGCTCTGTGCAGTAGTGGAAAAGCTAATGGGCAGCATCTCAACCAGTGGAAGAGTGGGGTACACTGTATGATGTTTGTACGATTGACTAAAAGTCGTGGTGGAACGCTAGCTTACACTGTACGACTGAATCCTTTAAGACGTACGAGAGCTTGCGATTTATACGCTCACACTATACGAGTGACATCGGGACAGAGCGCTGACAATTAAAAAAGTTTCCTTTGCAAACTCCAACAGATGGAGGTTGGGGAAAGAGAAGGAAGTGGAAGTTATTTGTAAAGATAGTTAGGATAGTTGATGAAATTGTAGAAATATGGATCCAATGATTTAGAAACGTACTAGCCTGCTGATCAGTGGCGTCCTGGATATTGACTTGCAGGTTGCCAGGGAGACGAGGACTGTACGGTTTGCCTATTTGTCAGAGAACATTAGAGTTACGCTAGCTTCATTATACTTACGTCACTGGTTTGTTTATTAGCAGAAATCATGTAAATGCACTTTTCGGTCGTTATTAACTTGCTGACTTAATTTTAGGTTTTTAAGTATTTTTATTCTTGACGTATGTTCATGACAAAGCCATTTTAAGGGGTCAGCATCTCTTCATGCCTGGTTCGTAGTCTGAATAACTCCAGGAGATTAAGAGTTTAACATGTTAATGTTTTGTTGTCAGCAGATCTCAACTGCAGATCTTTGTAAAAGACGCAAAATGTAAACTCTGAATGCTCTCTGAGGACACTCACAAAAGTCCAAATAAAAACTTTTCAGCTTTTAAAACAAAGGCTAATCGGTCACTCGCAACAATAAATCCTTCTGCTAACTAAAGGTCCTCAATGTGTTCAGTAAACGCAGACTTGACACCCAGTCACCACGGCTTCCATCATTCATTAATGATGAGTTCTCTTATAAATTATTTTCACTGTAAGCAGAACTTCTCCTGAATTCTTTGTAAACAAACTGGGAGAAATTGTATCCTTAGAAGGTTTGACGAGATATTTATTTAAATATACTTCACCTATTGCAGATATTATAAATATTATATAACACATTTTGCAGGAGTTTCATTATTAGCAAAAAGCTTTTCCAATAAAATAAAATATATGTTCTTGAGAAAGTGAATAAATATCTTTCTGGAAATGTACATTTTAAAATGAATATGGATTGGACATATTTTTTATTATTCCTCATACATACAGTGCAGTAGCTGGACCACCATGCATTTCTAACAGCTTGTAGTGATACTCACTACAATGAATATGAAGTTAAAATAAAAATCTCAGATTCTTCTTTTGAAGTTATGAAGTCTCTGAGGCGCTTCACGGTGATATTGAGCTTTAAATCTTTTTTTCCTTTTCTTTAAATAACATGATGGTCTCCTGTGACTATGACGTCTAAAAGATTAAAAAGATGTCTCACAGTTTTTCATGCAGCTCTGACAGACGTTTTTGAAGGTTGAAAGCTTTTTTACTCGGTCTAGTCTCGGTCTCTGACTGGGCAGAGGATTTTAAATCAAGACCGGTCAAGACTGTAAAAAAGGCCTGTTCAGGTTAGTCTTTTGTTCTGCAGAGACATGCCCAGACAAGTCTGGATTCAACTGAAAGGACTCTTGTATTTTCTAACGGACTTTTATTGTTACTGTGTGCGTCCGTGAGACAAGTGAGTTGAGTATTGCTGGAAATTAACGTCTATTGTATTGTTCATAGCAACTTTGCCCGTTCAATTTCTAAGTGCTGATGTTGATTTTCACTCTAAATGCATGCTAATTGCGAGCTAATTGATAACAGTAGCATAGCTTGTTAATGTGCAAAAGTGCATTGAATGTGACACATTAGTCACATTCCTAATTGTCTTTCTTTTATTTATTTTTTATTATAGAACCACACACACACACACACACATACATATACATAGGTTCAATTATTTCAAGAAAAAGAAAGGCCTCAAACTCATGCCTTGTACTGTTCACCTGAATTTTATATAAATAGTGTCCTGACCCGACACCCTGAGGTGATTCTTAATACCTCTCATACAAAGACCTCCACTGATTTCACTATGTCCCCCCGTCATTTCTTCATTTGCAGTTAGATTTTTATCCCCCGATACGGCCGCCACCTCCCCGGTGTTATGCTCTGAGTGAAACGCCCCCTGCACACACGATGAGGATTTCTCAGTGATATTTCTGGGCTTGGTCTCGTCTCGGTCTTTCCCTGCCCTGGTCTTGGTCTTGGCCTTGACTCGGACTTGATCCATAAATGTCTTGTTCTTGTTCTGGTCTCGGAGCACTCCTGTCTTGGTCTCGGTTTATCAGAGTGCCCCAAACAAAGAGCTCCATGAAGAGCAAACACTAAACCATAGATCCTTTATGACGGTTACATAACAAGAGGAAAAGAGATCAGAGTCAAAACACAGAATTTAAAAAATGATATAACATCTGTAAAGATAAAGACATTCTGTTAAAGATACACATATTACACTCATGTATGACTCATTTTTGTTTCATGCATGAATTAAAACAGGATGTATCATAATGTGTAAATAAGGACCCCGTCTCTGTGATGTTTGTGATTACATCATCAATCAGTTATAATCGCTCAGTTCTGGTTTATCATATATTCTTTGATGCTGGATTCAGGTTACATAAAAACCTACGTCTGCCCCTGTATTTATTTATTTATTTATGTATATTTTATATAAACTATGCATTTGACAACTGGGAAAATCTCTGAGAGTTAATTCTGTTTAACTTCAACACACGAGTCTGAAATCAACTTTTATATTACTTTAATCTAGCTTTTTCTTTATGCACATCTCTGAATATATCAAATATGTGTGGAAATTCTTCTTCTGCTGATCTATTATAGTGTGAACTGTTGATTATTTACCGTACAGTTCTGACAGTAACTGGTGTAGCATCCTGTAATACCTCATGTATGAAATCATCACGAGTCAAACATGAGGTTAACTTAATTGTGACAGCAAACGAGAAGATTAAAGGAACCAAGAGAGCTGAATTACTCTGACTTTTTATTTAATTACATACTCAAACAAACCAAGTGTTTCGACAGCATGGCTTCATCAGGTTTAATTGTGTTTAGTTCCCTTGTTGTGAAGAGTTTGCTCATTCTCTTTCCTTTATTAAGTTATTATTAGAATATCAACTGTGATCTGAAAACCTTCTCTGTCTCTTTATGTGATATGCAGTTCAGTAAATGTCAACAGTAATACCTGAGTAGAAGCAGCAGTAGAATTAATATCTTGATCATTAAATAATATTTTCTTCCAGCCTACATCTGAGTACATTTTTCTAATTTTGTTTTAAGAAAATTACAGTCATGAGTAACTTGTATCGTAAAATGTTCTTTGCCACTTACAGCCTCTAAAAATAATCTGTTTCTTCAAACATAATTTAAAGACAGGGTTGGTAATTTCCTCCAGATACACTTTTTTAAGATTTTGGCTGAAATTGTCTTTAGGTCCTGACAGAAATTAATAACTCAGGTTCTCTGAAAAAGGAACAAAGAAAATCCGTCATCTGTAACAGATGTAAGTCTGTAAAACAACCAATGTCTGCCACGAGGTACCAATCTGATGAACCAATCACACCCCTCCCTGTCTCCCTGCTCGCTCTCTACCTCTTGCATGCTCTAGCCCACACTCAAAGCTCGTCACAGACGACAGAGAATATAACATAAATCATCTCTATTCAGCGTGTGCCATTAAAGACATGAGACATTTTAAACAAGCGGCAACCTCCAGTGTTGAAAAATGAAGCCGAAGCGGAATGTGCAAAATCCTGCAGTTCCTCGAGTGTCCACTAGAGGTTGGCTGCAGAAGCACTAGAAGTCCCATACAAACCCATTCAAAAAGCCTGATTTTACAACAGAAATTAACATGTTTACATCCTGGTACAATGAGGTGTAACGGTTCGTCAAGAGGCTTAAAAACCCGCCTCAGCTCCAGCTCTTCAGCCTGTCGTTAGTCAGACTGAAAGTTAGGAGTCCGCCATCGATCAGACTTCAAAGCCCCCTGCAGGAACAGATGGGTGACATCACTCAGGCTTTGTCCATTTATATTCACAGACTATGATTTTATCGTGGGCGTTAATGGGACCTCGAGGGCTTTTGCTTCCAGCCTCAAGTGGACACTTGAGAAACTGCAGGTTTTTGCCCTTCTGCATTGGCCTTGTGTTTCAACTCCGGGGTTGTGACTCATATCAAAGCTCTATTAATGTATGTGTTTGACACCAGGTTTAAAGAGAGAGACCTTTCCTTATTCATTCTTGTAGGACATTGTGTTTAGAGAGCAGACCTTCAGAGTGTACATGTTCAGATTAGACTCCCTGACCTCTTTTAAAAAGTCGTTATTTCACAGTGTTCAAGACTAACCTGGAAAAACACAGCAGACACAGCACACAGGTCACTTGACCGCAGCTCCAAGCTGGCTAATGTTTGATGACTGAAGGTGAGGCACACTCCATGGAAATGTGCACAGAGCTGCACATGAATGTAGCGCAGAACAGCAGTGCAGTCACATATAATATAACACTGAGTCAATGTGACACAGTTTGATATCAGGAGAGGGTTGCACCAGTTATGCATACATTTTTAAATATTTATGACGAGATACGCACTATTAACTTTGAGGGGGTTGCACAAGCTGATAAAGTCTAACTTGTTTCTTTATGAGGGTGTAGGACGTTTTTTTATCAGTTCTAATGGTTTAATGGCAAAACATAAATATTTAGACCAAAAAAAGTTTGGTTGAGATACTACTTGCTGCATTCTGCCATGTTAGAATTTCAAAATAAAATAAAAATGTTTCAAAGTTAAATCTGTGAATGTTCCTCCACATTCTCTCACATAGTTATTACATTTCTTCATTCAACTTAGCCCCTCCCTCTCTACCACGTCCACCTTCTCCCTGCTCTGGTGATCAGCTGATTTGGGGCGTTTACTCTTAAAGTCTTTATCTGTGATTTTTCACACTTAAATGTAGAAATCAAGTATATCCTCTGAAAATAACTCTGTGAGTCATGACTGTCTACAATGGGTGTAACACCCGAGTCCCACTGTCTGTGATGTTTTCAGAGTTTTCAGAGTCCTATCTTCACTTTGTTTACATCGCCAGGACGGCCGGCTGACTCCTCCCCTCGCGTATAAAAGTTGTTTAATTGAGGGACTAGAGAAAAGAAGAATAACATACTGTACTCACTGCTTAACTGTGTTTCTAGATCACGCTCATTTCAGGTAAATTTACATGCAGTGTGAAGATACCAGCATAATAAAGATCACTAGCATTAGCATGCTAACACAACAATGCACCGCAAGTTGTTTTGGTTTCATGCTGGTGCTCAAGGGCGACATCTGCTGGATCAAAAAAATCACATATAAAACCTTTAAAGTCATAATCCAACCCGACTCTGCCACAACCTCTCTCAACCAATCATCCTGCCGGGGTCAAATTAAAAAATTCTCTCTCTTTCACAGTCAGTGTGTCGACCCTCCTCCTCCGCCCCGATCACCTCCAGTCCAGCTCAGCAGAGTTCAGATACAGCCTCAGAAACCCACTCCTCATCACATCCTGCACTCACCACCAGGGTCTAAACTTCATCGCGGGGTATCCTACCCTGCTGTCGACCTCGCTACCCCTCTGAGTTCATGAAGTCGTCATGATGGAGTCTAACCTCAAAAGATTTTGCACATTTATTTCCTACATTGTTAAATAAATACAGTGTTCATTCTTAATTATGTCTCTTCTGATTGAACTGGTTTTAATATGATGGATCATCTTTAACATCAATATTAACCTTAAAAGGTTGACTATTAATCACAGGTAATGCTAAATACTAAAATACCCATGATCCTTTTGTTATTATTGCCATGAAGATTTAAGCAGTCACAGACGAAATCCTCCAAAATTGTCTTCCTCTCACCTGCAGATGATTTTATTTGTTGTCTTCACGTCCATGTAAGTGATTAATCGGAAAAAAAAATCAAAGCTTGCTGATTGGTTATCTTCTAGAAAAAGAAAAATAACACCCTACTCAATATTGACTTTTGATATTTTCGTTCTGATGATGAGACCAGGACACCAGAGTTCATCCTTTACAAGATTCAGTACCACCTCATCTGTTTGAACAGACGTCACAGATGTGTTTGGGCTTCTTAAAATAATGTGTGAGTTCTATTAAAGCGACATTTAAAGATGAACACTCGGCTTTCTCCTCCTCACACCTGCACGTCAGGTTTCCCTGACTCAGTGTCCTCTGCAGAGATCTCACAGGTTGTCCTTTATTTAACTCTCCCTCCTGTCTCACCTCTGTGAGGACTAATGAGGCTGAACAGTGAGTGTGTGTCTTTCCGAGTTAATGAGTGTGTGAGCAGACTGTGTGTGTTGCTAAGCTGCGTCTAGGTGACCTGTATGAAAGAACATGTTCCTCCTCCCTCTGTTGGTCTCAGGTCTTTATCAGATCTATGTCTGCTGCAGGACTCAGATCTGCCTCCCTGAGTGTGTGTGCGTGTGTGTGTGTCTGTGTGTGTGTGTGTGTGTGTGTGTGTGTGTGTGTGTGTGTGTGTGTGTGTGCGTGTGTGTGTGTCTGTGTCTGTGTGGTGTACTAATATCAGTGTGTTACCCTAATCCTGTGATATGAATCTGATAACTTACTGTACAACATGTTACAGTCTGATATCAGGGTGTAACACACACACACACACACACACACACACACACACACACACACACACACACTCGTAGCTGTGATGGTCAGACTGAGGCTTGGGGACCTCTCACATGTTTCTTGACTAAATATTTAGTCTGGATCAGAGTTCTGAGGGAGTGTCAGTGATGATATAGAGGGAGATTACAGGGGGGGGGGGGGGTGCGCTCTGCTGTGAACCTGTAAATGAAGGATGGAGAGGACAGAGACACACCTTCTTTCAATCAGTCCTTCAATTAATAATTATTCATGTAGTGCAAAAACACAAACGTTATCTAAGGGGACCTTCCATAAAGAGCAGGGTCAGTACTTTCCCGAGGTGTCGGCCTACACGGTTGAGTTGTAGGGGGCCAGAAGTGGCCATGTGGTAGGGTAGGTAGTATCGGCTTTGTCACTGCCTGAAGCTCACATCACCTAGGTTTGTATGAAGGGCCGAAGAGTAGGTTATGTAACATATCAGGAGGGCATATGGGAATAACTGGGATGAGGGCACACGTACCTTGTCTTTATTTAAAAAACCTAGACCCAACATTAATTTATTAACTTACCTCATGACGTTTTCCCTGAGGTTAAGGTTAAGAGGATAGTGAAGGGGGATAGGAGGGACAATTCAGATGCACCCAGAGACTAAATTCAAGGGCCAATCAAACACAGATGAGACAAATTACACAGGTGAAGACAATGAGGGAAATCAAACTGTTACGGAAATACAAGACAAGAAACACTGGGGACAAGAACTACAAAGTGCTAGGAAACACTAAGTACTAAACGAGGAAACCTTGAACCAAAACAAGAAAATGTAAACTCTGAAAATATACAAAACCAAATTAGGGTGTAGGACTGGAGGCTCATGGTTGAATGTTGAACCTGTAGGAACAATGCAGATACCGCCTTGTGGACCAACCCCCCCCCCCCCCCAAAGACACTCCGGGTTGTGAATAACTTGGTGGAGTTTTCCTTCAACCTTGGTTTTGTCAAAACGTTTTAAGTCTCTAAAGTTTTTTGGAGGTGTAAAAGTTTTTTGGAGTCAGAGACAAAGGATTCTGAAAGTAGAATAAAATTAATTATTTGACATTTATTTGGTGGACTAATCTCGAGATTATTCAACAACCTGTAAAACATCTGATCTCATTTTCATGTCCATTTTTATCTCCTGTCTCGCACATTAACACAAACATTTCGTGATAAGACTTTGAATCTTCTCTTGTTCCCATGAGCAAAATCAGGGCAGAGAGCACGGACATACCCTGTGGATGTAGGCGTTATGTAATGCATCATATATTAAAATACAGGATGTGATTATAAGAGCTGTGATGTATGGATTCATTGATGTGTTTGACTCTTTAACATCTTGTGCTGCAGCTTCCTCCTGAACAGACTCGTCTTTAAGCTCCCGTCTGCCTGCTGAGGGTCATGTGACCCATCAGAGGCGTCATAGTGATAAGTTGAAGAGCCGCACAGATACATAATCACGCTCACACACTCATGAACACACACATGTTATGTCTCAGAGCAGAGTTCTCATGCTGATATTATTAAAGTGTGCTCTGTGTGTGACCTTAAAGAGCTCCTCACAGATTCTTCACTGTGCTGCAGGTCACAGATACAGAACACACGACACACAGAGAGACTGAGATCTGACAGTCGCTCTACATTTAAAGGCCCTGACGCACCAAGGAGACCATCGGCCGTCCGTCGGTAAGCGGACGTCGCCCTAGTTTTTGCAATGTGTCCAGCTCTGTCGCTACCCGTCAGCCCCAGTTGGCTCCTTTTTGGCAGATTCAACATGTTGAGCTGTTGTCGGCGCGGTTGGGGGTAGGAATCTCTCTGACTGGCTGTTCAGCGAAACAGGAGAGCCAGTGCACAGGAAGAAATGCGAAAGCACCTCTTCTAGTCTTGTTCCACTAAAAGACAACACCAGTGCCATTTTCTACTGTTTATCAGACATTATTCTCCATTAGAAGGACCTATATTACGAGTGGTGAGCGACAGCGGAGAGAAAATTGTCTTCTCGTATCACAACAACGGTTTATTTATTTGAGTTATTCCTCGTCCTCTTCCGGTTCCCCCTTTTTGGAATGACGATTACAGACTACCGCCCCCTGCTGGTATGGAGAGTTATTGCCTCTCACGCATGAGCAGAACGTACGTGGTGGTTGGCCGTCGGCTGTAGTCTTTGCGGTGTGTTCAAGTGCAACTTTTTGGCCAAGACAGAAGGCGACGTGTGTAGACTTGAATACAGTTCAAGATTCATGTGATTACTTTTAAAGCCTGGCATGGACAGGCACCGGCCTACGTCACAGAAGAGCAGATCTCTTCTGATCAGGTTTTTCTGTTGGTCCCAGACTCCAGACTGAAGACCAAGGGAGACTTTTGAGGTCATAGCACCAACACTTTGGAACGCTCTGCCCTTGGCTCTAAGATTTGTTGGCTCTGTTGACACTTTTAAAAAGCAACTTAAGACCTATTTGTTTAGAATTGCTTTAGCTTTATCTGTTTTGTATTTTGCTGATGTTTTTTTTTGTTTGTTTTGTTTTTCATCCTTTTGTAAAGCACTTTGTGACTCTCTGTAAGAGGTGCTATATGAAAAAAGTTAGTTAGAGGAATCGATCGGCCGCCTGTATTTCTAAAGGCTAAGCAGCATGCCTGAAAACCGGCTTTATATGGGCAACAATATTTTTGAATACTGCATTGAAGATTGTCCAGAATATGTGAACAAAATCTCATTATTATACACTTAGTGAAATTCATGTAAGCAAATGATAGCATCACTTAATGACATATTAAGACTAGAGGAAAAACAAGATGGAAGCGACAAAAAATATCCGCCACAATAAAATAAATAAAAATCAAAAACCCAGAAGAGTTTGGAGCCTCCTACCTTTTTTATTTACAGGTAGACGCTAAAGTAACTCCGTTTTTTTTGCCGTTTCCTCCATTGCAGAATGCTTTGCCACCCAGTCTGACTGAGGGGCTTGTTTGGTGGAGAAGTGACCGCAACGCATACCAGTGGTACTCAACTTGTCCAGACTCAGGACCCCCCGCCAACTCCATCATTAAAAAATTGCGTCCCAAATTTCAGGTATTATTCATCCCATCAGATTTCTTTAATGAAAAATTTCGCAATTTGGACCTCGGACGCTACAAACAGGTGGCAGAGCGCAGAAATGGAACAAAACAAACATGTTTAAAAACAGATTTTTTTTTAAGTTACTCAAGAGATTTTTTTTTTCTCCAGAGCACACAATAGCAACCCACTTTTGGGTTCCGACCCACCAATTGAGAATCACTGCTCTGTGTGAAAGTATAAATCTGATAGACGGAAAACTAGAGGACCAAGAATTCAAGATTGCAGAGCATTGATGGATTTGGGTGCTTCTGATGACATTACTGTGGATGACTTTTCTGTGAAACATGTACTGTACTCTCTGATGTGGGATTTTTTGTTCTGATGTGAAGAAGAAAGGTTCATATCATCAGATGCTGATGAATCCCATCACTGTTTCAACAGATTTCAGTGAATAATCAAGTTATCAGTGCTGTGCTGCATCGCTCTCTCTCACTGATGTCCTGCACATTCCTGGATGAACAGAGACATCAAGCTCCATCTGCTCTTAAACCAAAAATCAAACAATCTGGGAGAGTTTTGGTCTAAATATATTCTGATACGTTATTTTCCCATGGTTCAGTTGGTTTCTGTGAAGATTCAGCGACCGTCTTCTCGGAGCCAATCAGCTCAGAAGATCCAGCTGGGTGGTCCTCTGTCCCACCAAAGCCCAGACAGACGGGATCCTGGCTTCCTGTGTCTGGATCGAAAGAGCAGCCCGAGGGAATACAGGGACTGTCCATGGCACCACATCCCACCCCCACCCATACCCACCCCGCCACCCCCCCCCCCCTTCCCTAACAAACACTCGCACCATAAGATGTTTGTTCTCCTATAGTTGTGAGGACCCTGATTGATGGGAACAACAAACCAAAGATCAACATTTGGTCTGTATACATTAATGATTTTAATGTTTTGTACCA